TTTAGAAGAGACAGGGTTTCACTATGTTGGCCAGGCTGGTCTTGAACTCCTGACCTCAAGTGATCCACCTGCCTCAGCTTCCAAAGTGCTGGGATTACGGTGTGAGTCACGGCACCCTGCCCTGGTATAGCTTATTTTGAAAAGAACAGAGACATAGTTTATTATTCCTGAGTCTACCTTTAAGATGCTAAATTGTGTGTTGCAGGCAATAAATATGCATAGAGCCCAGAGGGGCCATAGGAAGCAGTTCTTGAAGTGTGTGCTTATACCAGAGGCACTTATTTGGAAAGAGATCAAAGTGGTCCTTTGGAAGCTGGGCCTGGTACCAGTTATATAAATTCCTCCAATGTATGACTAAAGCAAGTTATTGGAGACATAAGCTTTGAAATTAAATCTCTGAATTTACTTATTTCCAGCTTTTAAAGTAATACAATAATTACCATTCACAGAACATTTAGTATACCTCCTATACTGTGGTAGGAAGCCTCTAAGATAGTTCCCAGTGATTTCCACTTCCTGATATTCATACCCTTGTGTAATCTCCTTTCATTGAATGTGGGCTAGATCTAGAAACTTTGTTTTAATGAAGGAAAAAGTGATGGGATGTCACCTCCCATATTAGGTTATAAAAAGACAGTAACTTCCAATTTGGTGCGCTTTCTTACTTTCTCTTGTATGGTTAGCCCTGGGGAAAACCAGCTGCCGTATTCTGTAGCAGTCCTGTGGAGAGGCCCACAGAGTGAGAAACTGATGCCTGCTAACAGTCACATGGGTGAACTTGGAAGCAGAACTCCTTCCCATGCCCAAACCACCCACACTGTTGAGCCTTCAGATGAGCCCACAGCCCTGACCAATAGCCTGTGTGCAACCTCAAGAGAGATCTTGAACTAGGCGTGCCCAGCTAAGATGCTCCCAAACTCCTAATCCACAGAAACCATAAGATAATAAAGGTCTGTTGTTTTAGCTCCTAAGGTTTGGGGTAATTTGTTATGTAGCAATAGATAATTAACATAGGTACTATACTAAGTAGTTTTCTTCTACGATCTTATCCTACCAATAATCTGTGGAATTAATATTTTTAATCTGTTTTACAGATGAGGAGAATAGAAGTTCAAGTAGTATGGTGTTTGAACTATATTAAAACTTCAATATATGTTGTTAATTATTATTAACAATGTGTTGCAATAGCAGTAATAGTGGTTGTTATTATTAGTTCCTGTCTAATACGTTAGTTCCTTTTAAAATTCCTTGACTGATGAACACTTCCAGTGATCAGTTAGTAATTCTCTCATCTTTGGGAAGGGAATTCTGAGGTCTAGGTAGATCCCATAACTTGCTTAGTGCTTTAACATACCTAGCAAAGAGATAGTAATCCTAAATCGATTCATAGTGAATTAGGCAAATTAAAAACCTTGGAGGAAATATTCACTGAATATGTAACTACACTAAACTAGGGTTTAAATAAATCTAAGATTTAGAATGTATTTCCCCAGTTTCTGGCTTAACATATTTTTTTTTTCATCCCAGGTAAAGGGATAAAAAGACTGATCTTACAGGTTTAGTGAGCTGAAGCGTGTAGGCATGGCTGAGGATTCAGGCACTATCCTGGAGGATACTGGACAGAAAGAATTGTCATGGACTGGATTAAAGGTGAAGTATGGCTGACTGTTCCTTAGGAGCTTTGGCTATTTAACCAAGGAGCACATCTTCAGCTTCCTACAGGAATGCATGGCATTTAGCAGAACACATCGTAGTCCACTCAATCTCCCTCTGGCTGGCTGCCTCATTGGTTTGCAGATGTTCTCCTTCTAGCATTACCTGGAGTGAAAGAATCATTGCAAACTGAATTTCCATTACAAGCAGGACAGGCAGGCACGGGGATCAAGCACTCAAGCAAGCTGAAAATTACTTTTCTTCCTAAGCATAATATTAAAGCCAAGTTTTCCCTGAGCTTATTTTCATTTTGAAAATTCATTAAGGTTTAATCTAATAATCTGTGCACCTGACAGGAAAGTAAATGATTTTTCCAATTAATCTAAAGGTCCTCTGGCAGTTTTCACAATCTATACTAGTTTTATTTTATTTTATTTTTAAAGAGGTGTATATTGTTGCTTCATGGAATAAAAATGAAATATAAACCTCCGCAACATTCTACTGTGGGTCTACGTCAGCCTCAGGCAAAACTTAAAGAGCTGAGTGTCCTCTCTCCCTCCTTTCCTTTTTCTGTCTTATTCCCTTTTCTCCATGGTATCCTAGGCATAGGTGCCTTAGGGGCCTATGCCCACACCTCTGCAGTGCAGTGCTCTTCTGGTTAATATCCACCATGGAATCTAATCCCTGCTTCCTTCTGATAGGAGCACACATCTCAATGCCCGCCTCCCACCTTCATCAGCCAAGAAGATGTGATGGAACTTTGCCTTCTGCTATTTGCATTGTGAAAACAGATAACTTCCCCCTAAAATCAAAATTGTGTTATAGCTTTGAATATGCCTCTTTAGCTTTCCCATTCTTCTCTCCAAGCCTCACTCCCTGACACCCGTATAATCTATTCTGGTTGAAACATGCAATTTTTAGAACTTTGCTTCATTCTTTCTTTTTCTTATGCCATAAAAACATACTGCCTTCATGCATTATTCCTTTCAGGTTTTTACTCCGTGGCAGACCAGCTTGACATATAAATTGATGCTGAAATTTTAAGCTCAGAATAATTTCAATTTAATTGGGACTTTTTCAGTGGATAAGTTAGTCTTAAACAGAAAGAAACTGACAGTTGAGCTTCCATAAGCAAACAGTGTGGCAGAATGTAAATCACACTAGCTCAGCAGGAGAACAGAGTTCTAGACTTAGTTCTACTTATCAGAAACAAGCAGGGTAAACCTGAGCAAGTGACTCAGTCCCAGTAGTCTTCAGTTTCCTTATCTGTGGGGAAATGGGGAGACTGGACCACAGTGGAATCTGGGAGAGGTTAAACGCTCTAATAATCAGTGCCAGAAGTAATGTAAAAGAGACCAGCCAGCCATGTGTGGGGATGAAATAAAGGATATTGAGCTGGGTGACTTCCAGGGTCCTCCAGACTCCAAGATTCAGTGATCTGTTGGGGGTTGGGTGCTTCCCTGGTGTACCCAAATCCCACCTACAAGCCTGTGTCCTCTTGGCTGAGGGCTGCTCTGCACTTTAATATATGTAGATACAGAGAATCGTCTTACCTGATTCTCTGTATTGATGGAGTACACAGTGTCGGTCTGATCTAACAGTCTGCAGGAATGGGCGATGTTGACTGCTGTCTCCTGCTTATCTCCAGTCAAGACCCAGAGCTGGATCCCAGCCTCCCGCAGAGCAGCAATTGTATCTGGAACTCCTTCCTGCAGCCGATCTTCGATCCCAGTGGCTCCTGGAGTGAACAAAGACAACAGAGTTCACATTTATGGTAAAAGAGTAGTTGCTTAATTTCCCCAAAGCCCTGTGAAGCCAGGCAATTCTTATAAGATAGCATCACTGTGCTAGGCTGTGCATCTAGGATATGACAGTGAACTAGATAGAGCTGGTCTCTTCCTCTGAGTTCAAAGGTCATTGAATAAGAATTTATAACTGAGCTATATAATGAGAGAAAGTCAGGGTACCATGTGAGTATATACCAGGAGATCTGAACTTCACCTGGCAAATCAGGGTGGGCTTTGCTGAGGAAGTGCTACTTAAACTCAGACCTGGGAGATAATGCAAAGAGGTGGCAGAGGAGGAAAATTCCAGGTAGAAGGATCAGCATGTGTGAAGTCTCACAGGTTGGAGTTGAGGAAGATACAGAAATGGAGGCAGAGCAAAGTGAGAGATGAGGACAGAGAAGGAGCTCAGGGGTGCTGGATTGTGCAGATCCTTGTCAGGGCCTTAAGGCATTTGTAATTTATTTCGTAGCAAAGAAAGCTATTCAAAGGTGTAATGCTGGGGAGTGACATAATCAGTTTTGACTTTTAAGAATATCATTCTAGGCCGGGCGCGGTGGCTCATGCCTGTAATCTCAGCACTTTGGGAGGCTGAGGCGGGTGGATCAAGAGGTCAAGAGATCGAGACCATCCTGGTCAACATGGTGAAACTCTGTCTCTAACTAAAAGTACAAAAAATTAGCTGGGCATGGTGGTGCGTGCCTGTAATCCCAGCTACTCAGGAGGCTGAGGCAGGAGAATTGCCTGAACCAGGAGGCGGAGATTGCGGTGAACCGAGATCGCGCCATTGCACTCCAGCCTGGGTAACAAGAGCGAAACTCCGTCTCAAAAAAAAAAAAAAAAAAAAAAAAAAAAAAAAAAAAAAAAAAAAAAAAAATGCTTGACCAAAAAAAAAAAAAAAAAAAAAAAAAAGATCATTCTAGAGAACAGGTTAGAGATTGGAAAAGCAGGATGAGATTCAGCACTGAAAGCTACTTAGGAGGCCAGGTAGGAGTGCAGAGGAGAGGTAACAGTGGCCTGGACTGGCCTAGCAGCAATAGGAATAGCAATGGAAAAACTGAAATCTTTGCCCTGCAACTGATCAATGCAGAATTAATAGGGACTGACATTTTTGATAATATTCTTGGAGGGAATTAAACAGGCAGATTCCATAATTTTTGAAGGCTCTCAAGCTTTGCACCAACCCTGATGAATATATACCCAAATATTGAATAGTTGCTAAGTGATTAAGCAAAAATAAATCTGCTTTTCAATTGAGATTCATTTCAGATCACAGACTAATGGCTACCCATTTCACTCTGGGCAGGAGCACAGCATTTTGTTTCTTTTAATAATCCAGAGTGACAATAGGTTGGCAAAGCGGTTACATTGGATGCATATTGAAAAGATCATTTCATATTTTGAGACTGTGTGAAGGCATTACAGCTTTTTAGTGATATGCCAGTTTCTTCGTGGAAAGGTGAATTCTCTTCTCAGCCCAGTCCTCTCCTTTCCAAGCCATCTCGAAGGGAGATAAAGAACCCCACTTTCTGGAAATGTGCCTGTTTTTTGTACCTGAGGTCCACATGCGCAGGTAAACAACCCCATAAAAAATGATGGCTCAAGCCTCATCTTCCCCTTCAAGCGTTAGTCTGGAAGGTGAGAGGAAGCTGATTTATATTACAGTGAGCTGGAGTGAAGGAGAGAGGAGGAAAAACACATTTATTTGTGTGAAAGAGAAAATGAAACAGGAAGATTGTGAAAACCTTTCCCAGCTAGGGGAAGCTGGCAGGTTCTGACAAGTATGGTCTCTTCACACAGAAGAACCGGAGGCACATCTCTCACAGACTGAGCCTAGAGTGCTGTCCTGAAACAAAAGAAACCTCGGGGAGGGGAGAAGGGGATCAGGTGCCTGAATGGGATGACTTTTTAGTGGCATCCTGTATTAAATACAGTTGTCTTGCCCAGCCATCCTTTGGTTCTTGTTCAAGTGAGTTCTTGGGTTTAGCTTTAAAGGAGGCCTTATGAGGCAGCAAGCAGGGGCCTCTGCAGCTGACACAGGAAACCAAAGGCTGAAGGATGTGGGAAACTAATGCGTATGCTAATCCTGCTCCTCCTCCTCAGCTTGTCAGCCATCCTACTTGCCAGCATCACCACTTTATAGTGACCCTGGATCTTTCCCCTTGAACTCCTGTCTGGCTGGGCAGCCGGAGGCATGTGACTCATCCAGAGGAGAAGACAAGTCTCAGAAGAGTGTGTCTCTGGGCACACAGCAAGGTCATGACAGGTCCTTGGTCCTCATCCCCAGGTCAGCATTGTCCACCAAGAAGAAAGAAGGCTTTTTGCCATGTGGTCAGTGCACGCTGTTTGGGCATTGCTTACCAAGATTTTGCTCCCGAGGCGTGAGGACCTTAATCCTGATCAATAAAGCTCCCCCTTGCTTCTTGGCAATGCTTTTCCTCCAACAGAAGCACAGCCTGTCTCTTAACCAGTCTCTGTGCATCTCATCTCTCCCTCAGCGCAGCAATCTAACTTTCATGCTGCAGCAATCAAAGCCGTTTTTGTAAAGCACAGATCTGTCCCTGCTTTCACCCTCTGCCTTCTCCAAACATTTAGCAGGTGATTGACATGGCCCTTCATAATCTGAGTCCTGCTGACCTTTCCTCCCTTCCATCATGTTCCCCCAGCACTCTCTTTCCCACCAGTCCTGGACCTCCAGGCTTTCATTTGGGTCCTCCCACACTGCCTGACCAGGTTCTCTTCTTGCTTTCAGTTCACTGCCTTCCTCGACACTCTCTCACCTCTGGGCTAGGCTGGCATCTCCTACTTTGTGCTTCCATCGCACCTGGCCCATCTGCTAGCCTAGCTCTCATCACAGTTTGTTGAAATTGCTTGCTCAATCATCCAATATCCTCACTAGACTCCAATCTCTGGGAGAGCAGAGTTTTTGGCTCCTGTTGCAGCTCCAAAGCCTAGCATATCACTTGGTACACAGTAGATGCTTAGCAAACACTTGAATGAAGGGAAGAGAGTAGGGGATTAGCAAACATTTGAATGAAGGGAAGAGTGTGCTGTTGGAGAAGTAGCCAAACTCAGAGGCTTCTTTTAGCAGGGAGTGCAGGAATGCTCCCAGGGCATCCTCAGGAAGCTGTGCGTGGCATCTGTGTTGGGTATTGGCACGACCCATTTATGCCAAATACCTGGAAGGGAACCCCAGGGAAGGTTGCTAATGGAGACATATTAGTAGTGTCAGAATCGGGGCCAAGAGCTCCCTTCTCAACTTGCTACATTCCTTTTTTCCTATAATGATGACTTATTTTTAGCTACCAAGTAAGGTGAGTTGATTCTCCAGATGCTGTGCCGTCTCCATGAGAAGCTCATCTCGGTTGTCAAGGGATGCCTCAGCCTCATGCCGGAAACTGGCCCATCTCCGGAAGTCTTCTTCGCTTACAACCTATGGGATGAGAAAAGGCTCCTTAACAACCTTGGGTGGATCAACAAGATAATTTCCTCTCTTCCCATCTGCTGGGCCTCCTACTGGCCTGTTTGAACTTCCCTGCATAATTAGATGGGGCTTTATTCTCAATGATTTTTTAAAATATGTAAATCAATGAATAGTTATCCTTGTGTTTCATTACCACCAAAAATCTGTTGAGCCCCTACTGTGCTCAGATCGCTGCAGATGATCTGGACAGACTAGGTCCCTGCATGCCTGAGCTTATATGCTGGTGGAGGGTGAGAGGTATTATCCAAGTAAATAATTTTAAAAAATAATCACCTTTTTAAAAAAGGGTGATATGAGGAAATGTGATGGGACAGAAGAATAACAGAATAGGGGGCTGCCTTCTTTTGGAAGTTCAGGTTTCCTCAACAAAATGACACGCAAACTGAGATCCAGTGACAAAGGATCAGTTAAGGGCAAGAGCAAGAGTTAAGTCTCTGGAACAGCAAGGAACTTGTCCTTCCTTCTGTTCCTTGAATATTTCAGGTGGTGGAAGGAGGGAGAGAAAAGTGGAGGAAGTTCAGAAATGAGGCTGGAAAGAAAGCAGCAGCCCGATCTTGCAGAGCCTGTAGAGCACTCCACCAGGCATGATGTCAGACACATGGAGTGCCCAGAAGCTGGAATAATCCAGCTAGTGGCCACATCTTCCTCTCTCAGAGTTCCATAGCACTTTTAGACCCTTCTGTTGGTATTACATGCATATGGCATCTTAGAGCAATGAAAGATTATTTTGTCCAAGCATCAAATATTCCTTGAGTTTCTCTGCATGGTGCAACAGAGAAAACCATAGGGACACAAGTAGGCCTTTTGGTTTTGAGGAAACCTAGTCCATTAGGGGAGGGAAAACATGCACAAATAACTTAAATAGAAAATAGTAGGTGATAAATGTGTAATTCTGATTCGAAGTAGTGGGAAGCATTTGTCACTGTCCCAGGTGCTGCACATGTGGTTACTTTAATCTCCATGACAACTACATGAGGCAGGGCTGATTAGCACCATATCTCTGTAAAAAAGATAAAACTCAAAAATGTGAAGAAATTACTCAAGGTCACACATCTAAAAGCAGTGAGATTGGGACTACTACCCAGGTGGCTGGCTTTAAAGTGGGCACTCGTGATCTTTAATGCTGCCCTAAGAACAATAAAAGAGATGAAAAGCCCTTGAGATTTATACAAGAGAAACCACTTCTAGCCATCTAGAAATGTATGCCCATAATAGGATCCCTATTAGCTGGCTTTTAGGTGCCTCATTCAGTGTCCACTTCATAGCCCTCACGGCCTGCCTTTCTTGCAGAGGCTGCAAAGTCAAAGATCTACAAAGTGTGAGTTAGGTAATCTACAAAATTATGGCTAGGCTGAGTGCAATGCAGTGGGGGAGTGGTAAGGACTGCGGTCAACCACAGAACACAGCTGAACATATGCCTCCTCATAGGATCAACTTCTTCCTGGTTGTAGCTGATTGCTGCCATTCCAGAATAAAGACAGGGTTGGCCAGATCCTCTAAATTTTTCAAAGAAACCAGAAATCTAGATTTTTATGTGACTATATAAAAGCTCCCGCAATTTAAAGGAAAATAATACAAATCTAAAAAATGTCATTGGAAAGCAAAATTATAACTGAAAAAACATGAAAAAATTGTTTCATGAGTTGTGGGTTACCCATTACACATATAATGAAAAGCAGGTCATGGCAAAGCCACACTGATATGGGACTTAACTCTTCAGATTTTGGCTTCAGCAAAATCGTCGGTGTCTTCGGTTTTTGTGGTGAGTCAGAACAGCTAATCTTAAAAATGTTAAAACAACCACCTCTAAGGGTCTTTTATAAAGAAAAAGAAGCAGGGTCAAGGCCAATCAGCTATTTAATGATACTGAAAGCATGCTTGGAGGAATTTGTTCTTACCTTCTTGGCAATGCACAGAGTGCGCAAGCCATCTCTTGCATACAAGTCTAGATGTTTTTGGGTCCGGGCTCGGATTTTTCTCAGCTTCTTTTCTACGTCAATGTCAGGCACTGTCAAATAACCATTGTCCCCCATGAGTCCACATACAAACGCTCAGGGATCCCCATCTCCAACACGCTGGAATCTTCTTTAGTAGACTATAAATGCTTTAGAGAAGGAATCCCTTACGCAGCCCACCCTTAGAAACACAAAGGAGCTCTCCTGACTGTCAGGCTGCCCTGGAAGATAATGCAAGGAGTCCTTAAATTGCCTGCTTTCTACATCTTCTCATCAAAAGCCTGGCTGAGTAAAGTGCTATTTAAGGAAGGTAGGTGGTATAAGGTACTGTTCCCAAACACCTTTTTGCATGAGAACCACCTTAATAATAATAGAGATTCTCATGTCCAGTAAAAGCCCAGCTGAATCAGGGGACTAGAAGTCTGAATCTTTATTGTTACCTAAAGTGTTTTTAGTTTTTCCCTGGATGGCCAACTGACTCTGGAAACTGTTCTCTAAGTCTATTTATCATCTTCTCTGTCTTCTCCTTGAGGTCTTATATCAAGTTAGGTCCCAAGACATCTACAAGCCTGGATCTCATGAGCTAAGTTCTTCGCCACATTTGCTTTGCTGAGCTAGGCTTTCTTTCAATGCAAAAAATAGTTTTAGAGAAAACTTTTTTTTTTTTTTTTTGCATTTCCAATTTATCTAGTGTGAAAAATATCTGTGTTGCTCAAAGTCCCCTTTGTGAAGTTCTACATAAGCTTCTGTCAGAGGTAATTTGTCTTTTTCTCTTGAAATTCCAGTTCCTTTATCTAATTCTATAATAAGAATTTTTCAGCCAGGGTTGGCTGGTGTGGAGCGGGATTGATGCCATCACCACTTCCATTTTCTAGGCTGCCACAAACATCACTTATCAATCGCTTGTAACACTGAGCTTAGGATTCAGAATCCTTCTTTACCAGGGCTGGATTGAGACTTTTAGAGGTCCTAAGAATGAACAGAATTTGTACACCTCACCCATCCTTGTATATAACGCAAAATTAAAAATAGAATTCTTAACAACAAGCTAAGTATAATGAAGTCCAACAAAACTCCAATTTTCCCATGATACTACTCCAAGGCTATTTTTATATAAAACTTGTTCCAAAGATTATTTTCTAATTTTTCAGGTGTTCCTGATGCCTTAAGCATAGTCTTCATTTGTGTGTTGTCTGATTCAGCACTATTTACAATATTTTATTTTTAAAGACACCAGCTCCTAAGATGAAACCTTTTTGTGTTTTACTTGCAAGCCTTGGAGTTTACCTTTTTGTTTAGGCTGCCAGGAACCTCAGCATCAAATTGAACATTTAAACACCATGAATATTATTAAACCTGGGGTTATTTTCTCCCTCCTTTCAAAGTTTTGCTTTTCAATTCTTATAGTAACATTGCATATGTCTTTTATTGAAAGCATCTCTAATTCATTTTGCAATCAGGTGAGGAGCAAATAAAGAGACATCTCCAGGGCAGCTTGGATGGCTGCTGCCGAGGCTCCCTTGACTCAGAAGTACTGGATTCATTTGTCTGCCAGAGTCTGGGAATGAAGAGAACTAATTAGCTCCCTTCCCATTCTAAAAACTAATCAATCCCCTAAACCTCTTGGCCCTGATCCATAGCTGATAATGTAGGAGGCACAGGGCTGCCTGGACAATTCTGAAGCTTGGCTGGAATCTACTATCCTGGGAGAATCATAGCCTCATAACTGTCTTCTCCTTGTTAGCAATCAGGAAGCGGCTGCACACTAATTCATGCTGTTCCAAAATTGGACACTGATATGTTGGGACGTTGGAACATTTTTCTGGCTCAGTGAAAGTTTATGAAAATCCATCTGGGGGAGGCTGGGGAAAGGATAATAAAGAGGAACACCTGAGGCTTCCCAGAGTGCACCAAGCCCAGTGCAGAATTCTGGCAACGAGCTTTGACCTGGAATTCAGGATACCTGGGTCTGGGATTTAATACTAGTTAATCATGTTGCCTCTTGTAAGTCACTTTTCTTTCTGGGTTGAGTTGCCTTTCTCCAAAATGAAGAGTTAGGACCACAGTGTGTTTCATGGTAAGATAATGGATGCTCTATTGCAAAAGACTGTGTGTGGATAATCCATGTTTAAATGAGCTTGGAAAACTAGGATGAAGTTAAAGATGCTGATTTGCTACAAGACTGTACAGTCTTTATGCTAGTGAACTCTGTGATTCCCTAAGTCAAGGAGATGTAAAATGCAGCATGTTTTAAGGATATTTGAGGAAAGCATCTTGTGAGTCTGTATTCCAGTTGGAACTTGCTCTACCAGGTGACACTACAACTTGAGCTTCTTATTGCCATTCCACACTGCTTCTTAAACTATGGAGCTCTCTGTGCCTGGAACCCTGGTAAGGCGGGACTCACCACAGGCGGGGTCTTCCAGCAGGTCCATGATGACCGAGTCAGCACCCTTGGTATAGATGATGATCTCACCAGTCAGTGGGTGCCTCACAACGACAGACATTCTCTTCCTGACAGAGTCAAATCCCAGGGTACAGAGGAGGCTAAAGGTGAGGCAGGTGCCTTGGGGCAGGCGCACAGTCACCTGTTCAGGTGTCCGGGACACTAGCGTGAAGCTGTAGGCATGGGCAGCGTGCACCAGGGCGGCCTCATCAGGGCTCTCAGCCTCGTAACAGAACTCAGGACTGGCCAGGCCTGGGGCAGGAGCCTCCAGCACCTCCTCCAAGGAAGTGCCCGACCCAGACTCCAGGATGTCGCACTGGTCCCACGTGCTGCTCCTGTAGAAACCATCATCCGTGGAGTCACCTCCACTGCACACAGAGGCATCATCTCTCTCATCCAAGTCCGTGGTGGCCAGGTTGGCACCCAAACTTTCCCCCAGATCTGCGTCAGAGGGCGCAGTGGATGAGAATGACTGGCTGAGGCTCGATAGCTTTAACTTCTGGAAGAGCTGCTGAATTTTCTCCAGGGACGTCCCCAGAGCCTTGCTTGAGGGTTTGATGGTAACCTTGTGGCCAAAGGAGGAAAGTGGAACGTTACTCTCAGTGTTGGAAATAATACCAAGCTGTCTTTTGCAGAATATGAAAGTACTTTTTGCAATAAGTGAGGCCAGATGTTTCCCTCCAGCCTTGACCTCTGAGCACTGACAATGGTCATTTTCCACTATCTTTTGATCATCCGACTCTTGGTGTGGACAAATGAAGGAAAAGGAGATGAGAATCAGACACTCATAGTAAGGTTTACATTTCCTGAACTCTCACCGTAAAGGCTTCTGCTTTATCTTTCAGTGCAGTATCTCGTTTATCCTCCCAATAATGCTATCATCATCCCAACTTATGGCTGAGAACGTTGAGGTACAAAGAGTCTACATAAATTGGTCATGATCACCCAGTGTATAGGCAGTAAAGATGGAACTCAAACCTGGGTCTGCCTGACTCCAGAGGCTGGGGCTCCTGAGCCACCTGCCAGCTGAAGCTCCCACATTAACTTGAAATTTGGGAGTTGTATACTGTCCTTTGCCACATGATACTTCTTCCCCTCTTAAAAATAGAATTAATTTTCAAGATACAGCTTTCTGCCTCCTAAAACTTCCTGAAGACTTCTGATAACTTGCTAACTTTTCAGTGGTAAAGTGATTTTCAGGGTGGTTTAGAATCTGGGCATAACAAAGGGAGGTTGTGGTTTAGTGCCTAAACAAACATCTTGTCTTGGTTTCATAGTTGCAAGCTGTACCACCTAATTATTCTCATCAGTGACTCACAAGGGAGCTTGGCTAAGAGTCTATGGAAGATTGAAGGCAAATCCACCTTCGGTAGATTTCAGAGTATAACTTTACATACATTACCATCCCGCTGCATTATTTCCATGGGAGGAACATCACACACACTATTAATTGTTTTTAATCCATTTATAAAAACAGAGAACAGTACAGCACAAAATGACTAGAAACTATTGTGGAATTGTGCAGATGGTTCTGCCATGTATGAGCCATATGTCCTTCATTACCTTACTTGAGTTTTCTGAGCCACCATTTCTTCTCCTGTTATATCCAAGATCCTGCTTCACAGAGTTGTTGGGTTGAGAGGATTAAATGATAATACAGGTAAAGTGTTGGGCATGGAGCCTGGCATATAGCCAAGTGCTCAGTAATCACTTATAATGTCTATCCTGCAGACACATAGACAAAGTTTGAAAGCTACACAAAAGCTCATATATATCTTTTTCCATTTTATTTAAAAATGAGGAAACAGACCCAGGGAGGGTAAGAGACCTGTTCTAGCTCTCACTGTAATGAAATGGTGACATTGTCGCTAGGACCCAAATTTCATGTCTCCCTGATCAGAACTCCCCTCGCCCCTACCCTGCCTTCTACTTCTCTATCTCCTCTCCCCTCTTCCCTCAGTCATCGCTGGTCCTTACCCTCTGCCTGGGCTCGGTGGTTGTGGACACCATGACAGAGTTGCAGATGGTTAAGGCAAGGAAGAAATCAGCAATGGAGGAGGTGGTGGAGAGGGAAGGTCTGCTGTCCGTCAAGGTCTCCAGCCACAGGGCAGCATCTCGAACCTTGGTCAGTAGGTTTTTATCTGGAGTCACATCTTTTTCCTGGAAGAGAAAGGCCAGAATGAGAGTCTTTTCTTGGAAGAAAGCCCGCTCCAGAAGATTCTTCACGTGCCTGGGGAAAGGATAATGCAGCTTCACTGTGGTCTTGCATCCAGCATGCTTCTCTCTCCCACAGGTCTGGTCATTGCCAATTTTTATTTGATTCCGTCCTGCCTCTCAGTGCCACATGACCATCTATTACCAGGTGCTGGCAGTTATTCCCTCTCAGTGTCTCCCCACCATGTATTCCTCATTTCCATTGCTTCCAGCCATGCTGAGACCCTCTAACCCTCAATCCTGGATTTCTGTACCAGGCTCTAAACTAATGTTGTTGCCTCTCACCATTTTTTCCCCTAATCCTTCCTATGTATCATGCACACAGTCTTCCTAAAACTCCGTTTTCCTCCTGGTATTCCTGACTTCAAAAAACCTTCAGGAGATATCCATTGTTAGTGTGACAATTATTTGGCATCTAGGTTCTTCCTCAGTTTGCATTGTCAGTGTTTATTCCCACAATTCTCCACATGGACCCTCAGCTCAGTCTAGTGGTCTGTTTGTTGCTTCTTGGATGTATACTCCTCCTGTATGCCTCTGATCACACTTTGCTTGAAAAACCCTTTTCTATCTACCAAAATCCCACCTAGACTTTAATAACCATGGGAAGTTCCACTTGTCCATGAGATCCTATACAGCTCACAATGAATCCTTTCTACTGAACCACAATAGCAGGTTCTTAATTCAGAGTGTCCACAGGAGTCAGGCATGTAAAGTGAATGAGGAAAATGGACCAAGATAGAGATGAGGGCATCATGGGGTGGTAGGAGCTATGAGACCTGGCAAGTCCTACCCCTGTCTAAACGGTAGCTACTGCTCTGCTGAGTGAAATGCTCCAATACTGGTCTAGTTTGCCAAATCTCTTGATTTTTCAAGATAAAGCAAAGATGATGCATGGCCTATTTTTTTTTCTTTTCTTCCTATTCTTTTTTTAGAAGAAAAGAGAAGAAGGGCTGGATCTGACTCATGAATTTCCAATTTTTCGCATATTTGTAGAAGTTACCACTTGAACCATCTATTTGGAATTCACTACATATTGACATATATTTTATTTGTTGGTTTACTTATTTTCCCTTGCTCTGGCTCATTTATTTTACCCCAGGGATCTGATGCCAGAAAAGCTTCTCCCAAGAAGTGAGCTCTTAGCAACCAGAGCAGAGGTGGTGGTGGCAATGGCAGCAATGATGTCTAGCTCTGTCTACCTCCCTGCTGGCATCTTGCTTTGGCCTGTATTTTAAATTCTTGTTTAATCTCTATAGAGATAAGGTAAGAGCCTCAAAGATAGAGAGTTGAGTTTTCCATGAGACTGTATTTCCTAGAGCTCTAACTACAGCTTTTTTGAAGCAGAAGCTCAATAAATACCAGCTTTCAATGGTTAGATATGACAAAAGCCATTTTGCACAAGGCTTTCACATAAGAACATTCCTATCAGTGTTCAGGGTTCACAGCTAAATCATAGTTTAGAGGAGAGTCAATGGCTAAGAAAGATAGACTGAGAGAATCTTGATTAATTTGTGCAGGGTGAAGACTGAGGGTCAATGAGCTTTACCCAAGTTGAGAGTTTAAAAAATTCCAATGGGAAAAGAGGTCTCCGACTGTTTTCTGACTACCAAATGCAATGATTCGCAGAGGTCTGATTCTGTCCTCCCTAGGGCTGCTGGCACAGGTGAGATCCAGAGAGGAGGAAACTCAGACATACCCCACAAGAATGGTGCACATACTCTTCAAGACTGCCAGCCTTCTTTCTGAGTGCTCTCCAAGAGTCAGCACTCACACTCCAACTTGTTCATACCATCTCAAGATGACAGCATCCAGAAAAAAAGTCTGCTTATCAGAAGGAAGAGTGCTAATAAAACTGAATCAGATCTTCATTTCCTTCCATTGCCCTGAAAACAATTGTGAACCATCCATACTATGTGGCATCATTATTTCCAGAAAACCTGAGAAGGGCACATACATATTATCCATGCTCTCTGCCTCTGACTCCAGTCTTCCTAGTAGGAGCTCACATTTGTGAAGCTCTTCCTGCCTTTCCGAGCATGTCATTTATATAACCTCATCAGATTCTCATAGTCCCAAGCTGAGAAAAGATGAATCCTGACTTAATGAAAACCCATAGGGACAGCTGATTTGACCAAAGTCACCTAGTGAGTTAGTGTAAAGCCAGAATCAGAGCTCACACCCTTGAACTGCTAGTCTAAGGTTTGCATTTCTGTGGTCACAGTTAAGTAGCTATGTTCTCTTATTAATGTTTCTCTGCAAACTTCTAAAACCAGATTGCAGGGACCATCCAGTGTTTGCCATCAAGTCACCAACACCACTCAAGGAACTCCAAACCCATTTCTCAACATAGTAACGAGAGCTCCTATTTACGTGGTGTTTCTTATGTTCTGGTACATCCATGGTCTCATTACATCCCTGCAGTAACATTATCTGTTTAGTACCATTATCCTCCCAATTACCTCTGTATTTCAGATGAGGGGACTGATGTCCAAGGAAGTTGATTGTCTTGCCCAAGGTCACACAGTAAGTGCAATGAATTCCTTCAGTTGATTTCAGTTAGTCTGACTCTAGAATTCATAATCTTAACACCCATATCAGGCAAGATCCAGCATGTGAAGGAAGTGGGCTTTGAGACTTGACACCCAGCGTCAAGTCTGGCATCTCAAACAAAATAGATGCATTTGTATAGCTAATCCTAAGGCTCAGCAGATAGTCCATAAGAGTAATAAAAGGGATTATGGAAAGTTTCTTTTTTCACAAAATTGGCTTCTTTTTGGGGAGTAGGGCACATGAATAAGATGATGCTGTTAAATCTTACCACCACAGGTACTTAAAGTTGAGGAACAAACTTGGAGCTGTCAAAGCTAAATCCCCTATTTTCCTGATGCCAAAATTGAGAGTCAGAGAGGAGGAAACTGCCTGAGATCATACATTGATTTAGGGTCAGAACTAGGACAGTTTTCACACCACCTGACTCCCGTCCTCTTACAGCACACTGCTTTTCTCCAAGCTGTGCATTATGTATTTCCAAATGCTGACACAGTTAAAATATTTCAAGTTATTTATTCCATATTTATTTACCCTCTGGTCTATAAGTGCTATGAGGGCAGAGACTGTATCTGATGTGTCTCTTGTGCCTGGTGGACTGCAAGCAAGCAAAACATTTGTTAACTGACTCCTTTCTAGGATGCCATGATACCTCACCACTGATTAACTCCTGCTGTCTCTTCATTAAAACTATTCTTCAATATATTTCCATCCAATCTTGTAGCAATGAATTAAAACAAAAGCCTTCTCTACAAAAGGCCCTGGCTCATCCTGCAGGTGCTTGGAACAGATGTCAGCTAACCTTTATCCAGTCACCACAAACTTGTTCCCACAGAGCAAGGCTCTTCATGGGTCCTTTTCCTCCAGCCCACTGGTTTCCCATATGGTCCATTAACATTTGGAAACTTGGCACTTAGAGCACTTAGAAAGAAAGGAGTTTCCTCACCCACTGCTGGCCATTGTCCAGACTATTTCTCTGAAGAAAAAGAAATATAAATTTGTGGGGCCACCAGTTTTTTACATAAGAACCTTGTGGCACGCAGACACTCAACTAGTTGGAATTCCTTCCATTGTAGAACACCTAAAATGCATACAAACCATCTTTGAGGAAGGTGATTTTTGAGCTCAAACAATATCCTCAAGGGTCCTATTATTATCATTACAGTACACTTATTGAGAATGCATAGCAAAGTCAGGCACTGGGCTAAGTGCTCTCACGTCTATTATCTAATCATCCTAAGAGCATTGGTATAGTTAGTATCATTCTACTTTAATTATGAAGCACATGAGGCTCATTGACATTAAGTAACTTATCCTGGGTTACAAAATTGCAGATAATGTGCTGGGACTTAAATTTGGTACTGCCTGATGCCAAAGACTTATCTCTTTAACACTATGCCACAATTTCTCAAGCTTTCATATGTACATATGTCAACTGGGTATCTCATTAAAATGCAGATTCTAATTCTGCAGCTCTGAGTGGGGCCTGAGCATTGGTAATTCTGACAAACTTCCAGGTGGTGTTCATGCTGCTGGGCTGAGGACCACAGTTTGAGTAGCAAGGGTCTATGTTACATGGCAACCCTGTTGTTTCCATTCCTTTCTGACTGGGATGTGTTCCCACAATGAAGGCTGGGAAAAGTAAGCCAAACTCTACTCTGCTATTTTTCTTTCAGTATGATAATAACTCACTCAAGTTCAGATGGGTGACTATCACAGGTTGGGTACAGTAGTTTGTTGCTATGGGAATTCACAATAGGAAATAAACAGGAAACCTGGTGCCTGGGCTTGAAAGAAAATCCTTCATGGCATAGTTCCTCTTATGTCTCCATTTCCTCCTTCTCTCCCTGGATTGCACCTTTCATTCCAGTTACTCCCAAGAACCACAATTCTCCATCCTGCTTATACAGATTGCCTCCTCCTACAGCCTGCACTCCTCACCACCCCTCCCTACTAGATGGTATCTTTATTCCTCTGGTTAACCTTTATTCTTGTTTCAAAATTCAGCCCAGGTGCCAACCTTTCTAGGAAGCTTCCTTGATGCGCCAGAATGACAGAGCTTCACCTCTTCTAAGCTCGTATAGCACCTCTGCACCCACATATCCCAGCCCAGAAAGCATTGTCCTGTAGTCACTGTTGCTCCTTTTGTCCCTTCTTTGGGCTGTAAGCTCCCGAAAGCAGGAGCAATGTACTATTAGACTTTATGTCCCCAGTGTCTAGGACAGTATATGCCATGGAGCATATGCTTACTCAATATTTGTTGACTAACCCAATACATGATAGGCTCTTCTAAAGAAATGTAGACAGTGGTAGAGGAAGGAGGAAGCAGACCCTTCTGTTTGTTGTTGGTGAGTGTCTCAACTGGTACAATGTCTTGGGAAGAATCAACCAAAATAAAA